CCTTCTTTCTGTCTTATTACATGTGATCAACGTCACAGGAGGGTATGTGTGTGCAATAAGAAAACATAGCACCGACATATTTTCTAAAGGCTAGGATGCTCTGTTTATTTTTGCATACTTGAATCAAAGAGCCATCAGTTTTGTGAAAAGGCAGAAAATGTCGTGAACTGTCTACAAACAGTATCCTGCAGCCAGTTGGCTGGATGGGAAAGACCCTGTCCCAGCAGTGCAGACGAGAGAGCCTGTCCTGAGGCGCTAGCACTGGCAGGACTTGGTCCTCTACCCAAGCACTCCCAGAGAGAGCAGCCCAGAGCGGCCCGTCTTCACACCCACTTCATTGCTGGTTTCTCTGCTTACCCTGGAAGTTCCTCAGGGGAAGGGATTGTGCCCTTCCCTTGATGTGCCCCCGGTGACTGACCCAGAGTAAACATCCTGCAAACATTTATTGTGTTACTGTGGATAAAGAACTAACGCCTCACCTATTGATCTTCGAGGGAACAGACGCGGGGAGGGTCTCGCCACATGACAGCAGTAGACCCAACACTGAAGGCACTGTGGCTACACGCTTAGTGTCGGCGGTTCCCAGGAGACCACCAGGTACCATCACAGTGTGATTGATGGAATGCTCAGAAATCCAGTAATGTCCCTACAGCGTGTCCTGCCAGCTGGCCGACGGTGGGCAGCATTTGGAAGGCGCCAGTTTGATTATTTAGCCAACTCTTAGACATACCACGGCAAAATTCACCTGGTGTTAGTCACAAGTCGCTCAGAAACAAAACAAAAATGACTACACGTGAAGAGAGGGAGAAGGAGCTTGGGGTGGCTACCCGTTAGCAGTTCAGTCCCCGGGTTATATTTTTATAAGAATCAGGCAGAGGCTCTATTGTGCAGTTGCCTAGCACACCGTTTGAAAGGATTAACAAAACCTTTCCCCATCTCTGAGAAAATATGACCTTTAGCTAACCTGCAAGCTCTGTTTCTCTGGCAACCTGGCAAAAGTCGGGGCAACCATATTGCTAGGCAACATGGCCACAGTGGAAATGACCCTTGATTAGGGAACTGCATCAGGGCTGTGAGAACTATAAACACCTGATAGGAAGCCACACCATGGTCCTCCCTGTGAGGCTCGTGGAACAGGTATGTATGCCTCCCGCCTTGGAAGCTCTATGGGAGAGATGCCTGTCCTCTGTTACATTAAAACAAACAAAACCTTCCTGCCGTCTGTCGACGGGCTTCTGAGAGGGAACTCTCGACAAGAGTAGAAAAGCGGCGTCTTTCTCTCCTAGAGCAGTTGGTGGTTTTGAACTGCTGACCTTGTAGTTAGCAGCCCAACGTGTAACCACTACACTCCCAGGGGTCCTTTCCATGGGATAAACTTGCTCAAAAACCAAACTCACTGCCATTACGGCCAATTCATAGTGACCCTAAAGGAACTGACTCGACGGCAGGGAGTCTGTCTTCTGTCTTGTTTAAACATTACAAGAATGCGGTCACGATCACACAACTATACCCCAGGAGGCCCCAGGACCCCGGGGCAGAAATGCACCTCGGGGTGGCCCGTGCAAGCTTATGTATGCTCAGCATTGTAGAGTACAACTGCCCTGTGGGTTTCCAAAACTCTTTACAGGAGTAGAAAGTCTCATCTTTCTCCTTTCCATGGGGCGGGCGCGTTGAATCCGGGAAACTTCCTGTCCGATGCAGATCTGTGTCCTTGCACCTGGCTTGTGCCACATGGACCCCTGCAGAGATTCCACAGATGACATCTGTCTCTGCCCTTCTGACAGACTGGATTCTCGTCCATTATGGCTTGAATTGTGTCGCCTGAAAATCTGTTTGAACTTGGCTGGGCCATGATTCAGTGGTTCAGGAGTTAGGTGATGATGTAATTTGGCAGTTGCATAATGATATCATTAAGCCCTGTGATGTGATCGGATATGATCAGCCAATTAGTGGTAAGGAGATCAGGGTGGAATGCAACACCCCTCTCCTCTGGTCAAACCTCTGATCTACTGTAAAGGGCAGGGCGTTTCCCTGCAACACAGGTTATCATAAAAGAGAGAAAAGGAGACGGCAGCAAGCTGAGGACCTGACGGCACCAAGAAAGAGGAGCCAGGAGCCGAGTACCTCCTTCAGACTCAGGGTCTTGGCACTGAGAACTTCCTAGACCCAGAAGAAGGTTTAGGTCAAGACACATGCAAATCACTAAGGAACACAGAGCCCAGAGAGGTTGAAAAGAGACAAGGACCTTCCCCCCAACCCCCACGGCTGAGAGAGAGCCAGCCTTCCCCACGAGCTGGCATCCTGCAGCTGGACTTGGAGGCCCCTAACTTGTGAGCAAACAAATGAGTCTGCTAAGCCCTCCCACTTGTGGTGTTTCTGTTATAGCAGCATTAAGACACCATATATATTCCTCTAAGTGCAGTTGATACCAAACTTAGAAGTTTGTGAGTCTGAATGCTTCTAAGTATTCAGGCGAGCCTCAGCAGACCCCGGGAAGGCACAGCCGTATAGCTGCTCATTGTTCTGGTAGTAGTGGATGCGCTACAGGGGCCATGGGCAGTCAAAAGGCATTCAGCTTTGTGAAAGGTTTTTCCGGTTTCTAACACATCTTGATCATATCTATTACAGCTGGCATGACAGATGAGCCAATTCCATTCCACGTCACTATGTATCGCAAATCATTGCTTCCCTTCCAAATCCTAACATGTGATTCTTCATCCGAGTACACAGTCCCCACTCTGACTCCAGTGGATTTAAATGAGCTCCTGATAAAAAGTCCCAAATTCCTCCACAACTTATAGCTGTCAATGACGAGATCACTTATAGGCATCGGGAGGGTCAAACCAGACGCTAAATATGGTCTTTTAAACAGTTCCATGTCATCCCGGCAGGGTCTTGGACTGGTTACGTGTTGGCCTGAGATCGCAGGGGCGGCAGTTGGAGACCACCAGCAGCTCTGTGGGAGAAAGACTGGGCTTCCGACTCCTGTAATCAGTTACAGTCTCAGAAACCCACAGGGAGGTCAGGAGTCACTGTGAGTTAGCAAAGACTCGACGGCAGTGATGTCATGCCGTCACATAATGGTATGAACTGCTGTTAAAAGCCAACCAAACTACTCCTGCCCCCCGCCCCCAAACACCTCTCCCCTTCTTACTAAAGAAGCATCATGGGAAGACAGGAATCCAAAACTCCATCACTATGACAAAAGGCTCGAGGAACATGAAGACATTTGGCCAAGAGAGTGAACTCAAAAGCAATGAAATTAAATGAAACCATTGCCCGCCATGTATAAGTGAATAAAGCGCCCCTTTTTCTGGGTTAAAACAACAGCGTGGTCACAGGGAAACGCACAAGCCACGAGACCACTGCCAACAGGGAGTACAGGGACAGTGCTCACAACAGTGGCTAGCAGGGACTGTGCACCCACCCCAACCCGTTGCCCCTCCCCACCCCATTGATTACATCAGACCTCACAGATAAAATCCTAGTCCCTGTGCATCAGGGACAACCTAGGAGTCCCAATGAGATGTCTGGATTCTGCAGACCCAGCCCCCCAGGGCTCTGCCCTGCTTCAGGACCAGTGCTTGCAGACCTGGGGAGAAAATAAGGACCAAAACTCACCTGGGTAGCTGAATCCCCACTTCCACAACACTGGGGAGACTACTAGGGCATCTTCTTTTTTCAAGGAATATTCAAAAGTCTAGTGACCACCAGCATAGTTACAGCAGAGGGGCGACTTTCAGCCAGAGGACCAGAAATCAGAAAGCTCTGTGTCGTTTCTGAATGTATTAGGTACAGGCCTTCCTTCCTTCCAGTCCTTGCTATAAATGCTTCCCCCTTCCCCAAGAGAAACGACATGCCAAGAATGTCACTTTTTAATTCCTTTACCAGCAGGACTCCTGTTCCCAGACATGCAATCTAATAGAAGACAAAAAACATCCCTTTGCAAACTTGGACTGAATGTACCAGAGAGAGGCCAGGACAAAGCCAAATTCACGAAGGGTCTGTGTTGGGCCCACCTGTGGACTTACTTCTTATGCAAATATCACTGACCCCACGATTTAAACCTTGAAGACACCGTACAAGTCATAACCACTGCCACAAAAAAGAGAACATGAACGTAGAACCAACAACCAATGCACAATAGAATAGTCCCGACAAAGGGAGCATTTCTGCTCCCAGTGCCAGCAAACAGACCCTAAGCAGCCCACCGAAGATGCAGTCCTCTGAGGCGCTGGGAAAGCGTCGTGCAGTTATATTTGTCAAATAGTAAGCTTCATGGTCTGCTTTCTCCCAATAACATGCCTGCTTTCATGTTGAACAAAATGCTCAGAGCCTAGTCAGTGCGTAAATCAGAATAATATTTTCTCCATTTCCACATCAAACCTCATCAGCTCTTAGGCAAGCGCTGAGCCAATCTAACCCAGCTCCTTTCTTATGAAGCCAAATTCCCCAGAACTTAAGAGCGCGTCAGAGCCTAGTAAATGATGTAAAGGTAAAAGGAAGCCTAACATGGAATACTAAGTTAAGTTCCCTCATTAAAGGTCATTTCTTAAACTCTTCCTTTATCTCATAGCAGGATGTCTTACCGTCCACACTATTGGCATCCAGAGTGAGACGACTCTTCGTGGTTGTTGTGCAGGGCTGTCGTGTGCATGGCAGGCTGTCTCGTAGTATAAGACAAAATTGGGAAAATGCCTTCAATGACATCCTAGACTGCTATGATTTTCTGCCCCTTAACCCTTTATTTTGTTTAGTCTGTCTGTGCCCTGTAACCCTTGTAAAGAAGTCCAGCTTCACTTTTTTCTTCCTGTTTCTCTCTCTTTTTTTAATCGTCTTATTGGGGACGCATACAACTCTTATCACAATCCATATATAGATCAATTGTGTAAAGCACAACCGTACATTCATTGCCCTCGTCGTTCTCAAAACATTTGCTCTCCACTTAAGCCCCTGGCATCAGATCCTCATTTTTTCCCCCTCCCTCCCCGCTCCCCCTCCCAGCTGCTTCTTTTTAAGAGAAGCGTTAGATGATGACAAAGCCAGTGGGAAGCACACTCCCCTGAAAACCTGCTCTCCCGGCCCCCTTTCTCTCACCAGAACCTTTAGAAAGATGAAAGATTTAAATACATAACCTGTCTACAAGGGTTTACACTTTTATTCCCATTAATGCTCTCTTCACTGACCAAGTAAAAGGAGCGGCAGTACATTTCCCGGTTACACACCATTGGCTCTTGGAAAAGCTGGGCAAAACCGGGGTGGGGCATATGGGGTGTGTCCAAAAGGCCCATTTTATGATCACAGAACAGGTTCTTGGTGTTTGCAGAAGGGTCAAAGGCCAAATCAGATGGCCATCACCCAGGCCTTGGCTCTCAGGGTGCTAGACAGTGAGCCTTCTAGATGATTCCACGCTTGTCCACACATCAATACAGACTCCCAGCCTTTAAAAGTATACTTGTTGGTACTTGTGGCCAGACAGAGAAACTTTGTTTCATACCTTACCAGAAAATGAAACCATAGAATTCATTTAAGAGAGGTTTGGCAGATGTGAGACGGACCCCAAAATGTCACGTGCTCTTGCCCACCTTTGCCAAGAAAAGAGGGTGAAGACAAAGGAGAGGCAAGGACTGAGGCAACAGGAATAGAGGTGGGGAGTCTCTCCGCTCTCTCTCACTAGCATTGAGGTGCACCGCAGAAGCCCAGGAGGCCTGGCGGTCAGCCCCGGTGTGCTCAGAATGAAGGAGGAGCGGACACAGTCCTCGGAAACCAAGGGCGTCACACTAGCACGTTATTAGTTCTTTGACTCGCACAGCCAACCACCGCCACGTAGTGAACCGAAAATACAGACACGGTAATAACACTGAAAAACATTCCTTCTCAGACCGCCACCAGACTGAACCACCTCTCAGCAGCAGGATGAGCAGTGACCGGGTATGAACCTCTCCCCGCACCAGCCGGTGGCATGCTACGTGAGAGTCTCCCGAGCCGGGAAGCTGGCTGCCGTCTGTGGTTTGCGGCCAGCATCGTCTCCGGCGGGGTCGTTTTCCTCACCGGAATCCACATAGATGGGCCAGTCGTTGTCCGTGTTGCTCTTCTCGTGGCTCTCCGAGGAAGCCTCCACCAGGCTGAGGGTGACGGGCATCAGGTCCTCGTCTTCGTCGTGTGTGTCTGTCACACAGGTGCAGCTGTCGCACAGGCCAAAGCGCCGCAGCCCCTGGGACAAGTGGTTCGTGAAGGTTCTCCTGCAGCCCTTGCAGATGATTGGACGGTTGGATCGATGGACCTAGAATCACAAGCAGGCAAGTACGTGTTACAGAAAAGGGGTTGAACCACAACCCGTGCGAGCGCCCGCCCCTTGCTCTTCCTGCCTTCCACTCACCTGAACAAGGTGCTTTCCAGCCCCATTTCCAACGCCCACCCCTTACTAAGGCCTTTCAAGCAAATCTTCCCTGATGCTCCAGCCCAGGTTCGCTTCCCCAGCTCTTCCCTACTTCTTCCTCACAAATGGTTGGCAAAACCCATTAGGGGCCTTGTCTGTCTCACCCCTAGTGCCTGGTCATTCATGGGAGAACTCTCACCTTCAGAGTGGGAGATGGGTTGATTCCTGGCCAAGGGAGCTCGCGCGCGTGTGGCCATGACTTGCCTGTCCGTGGCTTCAGCAGAGTGACCTTTAGTATCTACCTAGTGCTCCCATCAGAGAAGTACCAGGAGTGGCTGACTTTACTGAACGTCAGTTCGTGTTCTCACAGTGTAGGTGGGCGTGAAGTCTGAATTCAGGGTGCTGGCTCTAGCGCAGTGGTTCTCAACCTTCCTCATGTTGAGACCCTTTCATACAGTTCCTCGTGTGGTGGTGACCCCCACCATAAAATTACTTTCGTTGCTACTTCATCCCTATCATTTGGCTACTGTTATGAATTGGGCGACCCCAGTGAAAGGGTTGTTCGACCCCGTAGGGGTTGCAACCCACAATATGAGAACCGCTGGAAGTCTAGCGGAAGGCTTTCTCTGTCTGCTGGTGGTGGAGGGTAAGGTGATGCCCTGTCTCTCCGCTTCTCTCCCCAGGTTCTGTGGTGACCCTGTGGCATCCCTCTTTCCCTCTGTTTGCGGTAACTTGCTCCATTTGCTCCGTCATACCTCAAAAGAGATGGACTTAACATGAAGACTGCCACATTAACAGACAATGAGGACCCAGGCCCAAACGGGCCTGTACTCACTGGTAGAGGGGTTAGGATTTACAACACACGTATCTTGGGGCTACCGTTTATTGAGTCCGCGACACAGACTGGAATGGAAGATCTGGTGACCTGCTTTCCAAAAGCACGCCAATGGCGTGGGCACAGCGCTCAAGCTGGGACTATGGTTCACAAAGGTCCCGTCTGCAAGCGATCATCAGGCTGGAGCCGAACTGGGCAGTGTTTGCTTCCTTGTGCATGGGATCAACAGGAGCTGGTGTGACCCCACAGCAGCTAACAACAGTGTCTGGCATCTAATGAATGTTCGGTGAACTGGCTAGGAGGTTAGGCTTGGCAGGAGGCTTACTGGCATAGTGGATTGTGCCTTAGGCTCCTGACCACAGGAGTCTTAGCATGGCTCCTTATGAACCTTGGATTTTTCCAGGCAGATTTAAGGTTGCTATGAATCAGAAACAACTTCATTAACCCCTAGGCCCCTGTATGCTATCTCACACCTCCCTCTGCTGAGATCTCTTTTCCATTGTAGGAGCTTCTGCCCTCTTTACTCCCAAGTCTAACTGTCAGCCTCCTAGTCCATTGGCTCATCTTCCCACCACGGCCCTCCTGCCCTCGGGGACCTCCAACGTCTGTCCGCTTGGCTATGACAGTCCTCGTCTTGGTTTTAGCCTTAGAGTAGTGGTCTCATCCAGCATTTGACTTGTGATTGACTCACTTTACTCAGAAAATGTTCCCTGGCCCGCCCAGGTTGTGACGTGCTTCGTGGTTTCATCATGGCTTTCTAACGATGCGCAGCACTGCACTGTGTGTATGTACCAAGGGTTCTATATCCGTTCTGCTGCGGATGGGCTTTGGGGTTGCTCCCAACTTCTGGCTATCATGCGCTTGGGAAGTTTTCAAGGTTTGCTGTGTCTTATCCTATATCAATGTATCACACTTTTTGTAGCTGACCAGTATTCTATTGCACGGATATGTCAAATTTTGCTTTCCGTTCATTGGGTGATGGACATTTGTCATCAAATGCAAGTTTTGACGTGAACCGGTGTTTCAGTTCTGTTGGGTAAATATCCTAGGAGCAGAATTGCCATCTCATACTCATCTGATAACTTCAGCAGTTCAACCATCACTCCATCTCCTTAGGTTTGACTTCTGAGAGATCATCAAGCTGCACGGCTGTACGCACCAGCTGCACGGCTGTACGCACCCGCCAGAAATGCACAGTGCATACTTTCTTCAGTCGCACCAGCATGTTGTGACTGTCTTGTCAAAGTCCTTAGCCATCACAGGCATCTCAGTGGGCATGAGAGGGTCGCTGGCTGGTGCCAACGGTATCTCAGCAGCTACCCCAAGGTCTATCAGCACCTCAGAAGAAACACCTGGCAATCTACTTCTTAAAAAATTAAAACTGGAGCACACTCGGGTCGCCACCAGTCAGAATCGATTAGAGGGCAACTGGTTCAGGGGTGAAGTGCCATCTCCTCATTTTGATGTACACTTCCCATGATGAATGATATAGGGCACCTTTTCATCTGCTTATTGACATCTTTGGAGAACTGAATCGCTTTGCCTATTGTTCAAATGGGTTATTGGTGTTTTAATTGTTCGCTGCTGAGGTTCTTCCTATATTCTGGACACTAGGGCGTATCAGAATCAGAATTTGCAAATGCACACCCCACTCCATCCTGTAAGGGCGTATCAGAATCAGGATTTGCAAATGCACACCCCTCTCCATCTTTTCACGTTCTTGATAGTGCTCTTTGAAGTCCACATCATTTCTACCTTGGATCTTCAAAGGCTGAATGCCTTGCTCAGAAAGGATTTTAAATGCAAAATCTTAGTAACCCAGGTGCTTTTTAGCTAGTAGGAGCCACCAGCTCACACAGCAGGCCGAACCCTGGGAGTGTAGCTCCCTTGGGATGGAGTCTTCTTTATTGGTCTCAAGTAGCCCTGGAAAGGACAGTGTCCCAGGTGCTGCTGTTGGGGCTGGAAACGGAGGATGCAGCCTATGGTAGGCATCACACTGGTGGAAAGCGCCCCCATTGTCCTGCCCAAACCCCCTTGATCTCTGCCTTATAGCCATCATTGACCAAGATCTAAACTTGTTTGACTTTCCCCTTAGAAAACTAGTCTGTTACCATCTAAGTTTGAACTCTCTCTAAATGCCACCAACCCAATTTTAATTCGCTAGCAGAGACATGAGCTTTAAATTCTCTGAAAACATTCCAGGTGCCAGAGAAGTGAAAGACAGGTGGGCCTTCACCCTTATAGTCAACATGGTGACCCGCCCCTGCTGCAAGGCACTTGCCAGCTGGGATACTTACACTCAGGGCGTGACTGCGCAGGTGCTCCTGCCGAGTGAACCTCTTGCCACAGGTCTCGCAGGGGTAGGGGCGCTCACCTGTATGGGAGCGGATGTGCCGCTTAAGGATGCCCTTCTGTTTGGCAGTGTAAGGGCAGAAAGGACACTTGTGGAGCTTGATGGGGACCACCAACACATCACCTGGGGAACCAAACAGATGGATTCAGCTCTTATATGAGCACCCGCTGATGGATGGGGTCTGGAGATGGGGAATTGGGCGGGCCCAGATCAAGAAGACACCCACCCACCTCCAACTAATAGCAGGATCTTGTACAGTCAAACGGCTTGGCTCCCAAACAACTTGAGGGTAACGCAGGCTTGTAAGATTGCAAGGAGTGCCACAACACACTGGGTCCACATCTCTGATCCAAACCAACACGGGGAGTCCGGCTCAGCGACACCTCGGAACTCACAGGTCTTCCTGCGAGACGGGGACAGCGTCTCAAAGTACAACTCCCTCTGTCGCTTCAGTTCTATTTGATTTCATTTTAAGAACATGCCAATTGAGACCCCCCTGAATGGTTTCTTGACATTCTGAACAACTCTATGTTAGGACAGATCAGACCTACAGATCAGGGTTCATGCTCTCTTTAACAACTGCTTCTAAGACTGTCTTCCTGGCATGTGTAGGGCTTGCTATGATGCAGAACCTAAATTTCTGGGGATTCATATTAATCATAAGATCCTGAATCATCAAATATTCAGGAATTCATGAACATCTTTTTCTCTTTTTTCTCCCACCCCACCAGACAATCTGTAATGTTCTTCGGCCTCAGATACCTTCCTCTGTTTGGTAAACCTGGGAAACTCCTAGTCATCTTTTAAATCTTGCTCAGAGTTTATTTCATCTGTGAACTCTTCTCCAAACGCCTAGAGAGAAATCTTCACTTTCACGTTCACCCATCTGTATTAAGACTGTTGAAATTTCCTGAATGGACCTTTATTATGATATTCTAAGATTTGTTCCCTCTCTCCAAGAACTTCAGGATTTTTTATAGGCTGTGATCACATCATATCTCACATCACATCAGATCAGCATGAGTACCTGAGCTCTCCAGGAACAGAAACCTGGATTCAGGTCCTGTCTCGACCATCAGCCAGATGTACGACCTTGGACATTTTCCTTAAAGTCTCTGTGTCTGACTTTCCTTATCTGTACACTAGGGATGGTGTTAGCTCCCATCTCAGAGGATTGTGGGAAGGACTAAATGAAACGACACCTAAAACCCCATTAGCATCGCACCTGGCACACAGTAAACATTTGTAAACATCAGCCATTTTCGTCACCATCATAATCATCACCCCAGTTTGTCTTTACTGATTGGGCAGTCCAGGCTCTCATGGTTCCTGTCAATGCTGGACTTACCCGTTTTCTCCTTGACTTTGTAGGATACCTAGCTAGGTGTGTCTTTCCTGAGGCCCTATAAGAAGGATGGCCAGCTGAATATGCCAAGTAAGAACCCCGCATCACTCTATGTAAGGGCACAGAGCTTCTAGTTCCCTAACTGCCTAAAAATTTAGATCATTCGTTAAAAGAAACAAAAACAAACCTCTCACTGACATCGAGTCACTCACAGTGATCCAATAGGACAAGGCAGAACTGACCCTGAGGGTTTCCAAGACTGCCACTCCCTACAGAAGTGGGAATAATCTACAGTAACTGCAAAATCAGCTTCCTAGGCTAAAACCAGCAGTCCGCAGCTCACCAGTCCATACATGTTGACCTGCTGTCTCTCACTGATCACACTGGGGCTAAGGTGCCATTTTCCTGGTCACGCCGTTTGTCCCCATCCGCCTAGCCCTGTGCTGCTCCCTTCTCATCAATTACTTATAAAAAGTAAAATAAAATCATTAAATAAAATGCACCCAGGGTTGGTCCTTGGACGAACCAACTGCTAATGTTTTTCCATCGGTAAAGTACAAATTATCTCAACATTTTCCTTTCTCTTTTTTTATGTAACTTCCCCCAATACAACAGTTCTTTTGAATGCATATTGCTGTCAATGTTCATCTTTAGCAAGGAAGAAAGATATGTAATCAAATCCATACACTACAATGTAACACACACCAAGGGCAAAGTGATAGAGAAACAGAGACAAGAAAATAATGGATTTTTTCTGGGAGTGCAGAAGAGATTCTATAGGAAGGTACTAAAGGATGAATAGATAGAGAAAACAATTTTAAATCAAGGAACAGTATGTGGGTAGGCATGGAGCTAAATGAGCATAAAGGAGCTGAGAGATGAGACCAAGGAAGGGGCAAGAACCAGACTGTGAAGGTCATGTCCATTCATTTACTCAACACATTGTGAGCTACTATGTGGCAGGCTCTGTTCTAGACTCTGGGGACACAGGAGTGAATAGCACAGGTAAAATCCCTGCCCTCATACATGATATGCTAAGGAGGTTGGCCTTTATTCGGTAAACAGTTAAGATTTTAAGCAGGAGGGTACACGCTCAGATTCTTCTTCTAAAGGATCCCTTGGGTTAATGTTGGGAGAGGATTCAAGGGGGGGCAGGATTAAACACGTTAAGTCCAGGTGGGAGACGACCACAGGTCTGCGTGAGAGAGGGCATGAACGAGCAGTGGCCGTGTAGGTGGAGAGACTGACCCTGAGGTAAAACGAACCAGATGTGATGACCATGTGCAGAGCAGAAAGGAAAGAAGATTCTAGCTGAGACAGACTCTGGATGGATGATGGTGAAGCCAACGGAGGCGAGGGCCAGAGGAGGAAAAGCAGGAGAGGAAAAGGCAGCTCAGTTTGGATTTGAGGCACCTTCAGAAGCTCCATGTGGGACTGTCCAAGTCACGTACCTACATCTGGACCATCAGCACATCATCGTGGTGGCGTGAACTAAGCTCTTCCCGGAGCACCCTGCTTCCCTGGCCTCTTCAATAGCCCTCCGTGTGTTTCAGTACCCCTTCCAGACCTCTGTCCCTCCTGCTTCATTCAAAAACCCTCAGACCGTATGACACCTTCCTTGTTACAGCTGTCATGCACCTGCCCCCCCACCACCCCCACTCACCACCGCAGGCCTTGGAAATCTGATCACATCGCCTTCTTTTCCAACGCCTGTCATATTCCTTGCTATGGAATGTGATATCAAAAATGATCCTTCCAATACCCTGAATTCTCTGTTCCTTGACCTCCTCTTCCTCAAAGATCTTTTCCTCCACCCCAATGTGGCCACCCAGCCCTAAGTCAGTACATCTCAGCTCTGCCTGCACATTAGAATCACTTGGGGAGCGAAAAAGCAACAAAACTCACTGCCATTGAGTCCATGCTGAATCACAGCAACCCTATAGGATGGGATAGAGCTGCCCCTGTCTCCCTGAGTTTCTGAGACTGTAATTCTTTACAGGAGAAGAAAGCCTCGTCCTTCTTCTGAGGAACAGCTGGTGGCTTCAAACTGCTGACCTTGCGGTTAGCAGAGCAAGGTGTAACCACTGTGCCATGAAGACTCACTTAGAAAACTTAAAATAGAAACATATTATATCTCCAGTCTCCACCACAGACCAGTAGGTGGGGTCAGGCCCAGGCATCCTATTTTTAAAGCAACCCCCACCCACATTTTAACGCTGAAGCCAGGATGAGAATTACCGCTCCATATCTGATATTGCTAAGAACTGTGTTCGCTGCGTAACTTCCGTCGTATCTTTCCTGCTCACGCACAAAGGGCCCTGTCCCCACTGGGGTCTCCAAAGCCTGGGTTCTTCTTCTTCATCTCCTGGTACACACACACACACACACACACACACACACACACACTCCCCAGTTTAGTGTCTCTATCCATCATCAAAATCACTCTATACATTTCTCTATCTGTAGCCTGACTAAACTTAAACCCTGATTAAATCCAGCTCAGACGATTCCATTGCCGAAACAAGGAAGCGTCACACCACTGGAGAAAACACGCACCGCCACGTTTTAAAGCCTCACTCTCCATCTGTGACCACTGACCTCGGCGTGGCACGGCCCAGACAGTCTATTTCCCGGCTCCAGGCAGCCTCCCACGCTTCTCCAGGACTATTTTACATTTTCCCTCTTCTCAAACCTCCAACCTCTCCCACTCCTTGTCACTGGCAGCTGCTGCCCTTGCTTCTTAGCTCATTGGGAAGGAGGAGAATCCAAAAGAGAACCTTTACAAACTCCCAACTGCCCCCAGCCTTCCAAATGAACTCAGATACTCGGGCTTACCCCTCCTGCTTCCCCGTACCCAACACCAGGCCAGTCCTCCACGCATGCACAGACCCCACCCCTCCTAACCCTCTCTGTCATCAGTTCTTGCTCCCTGTCTCCGACATCATTTCTATCGGGACACATACTGGTGCATCTACCACCTCAGCAAGCCCCTGGACGCCTCTCCGACCAGTCTGCAGTCGCCGTCGCTGGGTTGTGTGCTCTCTGACTGCTGCCACATTTCCGGCTGGCCTCGCGCTGCCTCTGGGCCTCAGCAAGGGGTCTGGGCCTTGAGCCTGCAGGAAGTGGATGAGCGTTTGCAGCATCCGCTGCAGGTTAGTGTGGTGGGGCGGAGGTGGATGAGCTGACCCCCACTCAGGTGAAGACTACCCAGCCAGCATCTCATGGGATGGCCTAAGTTCAAGTAAACTCTACACTTGGGTCCTACAGACCCAGATGCGCCCAGCAGGAAAGACCCCAAGTTCAGGGCATGGCACCATTTTCTCAAGGTCAACATGAAGGGCAACATGTGACATCAGCGGTGGCACAGTCCTCCACCAAGGTCTGGCTGATCACATCGCCTTCTTTTCCAACGCCTGTCATATTCCTTGCTATGGAATATGATATCAAAAATGATCCTTCCAACACCCTGGTTTCTCTGTTCCTCCTCTTCCTCAAAGATCTGAGCAGTGGCCGTGATCTGAGCCCATTGTCAGCATCCAATCTGGAGACCACCGAGGCAAATTCAAGATGGCATCTTGCTGGCACGTGCTTCCAGGCTGAATGGGGCGACACGTACCCAAACTATCCGATCTGGGAAGAAGGGAAAGCAGGGGCACACAGACTGGTCCTGAGGCCCCTGCTGTGTTCGCGAATTCAGTGAGGCCTGCAGATCCCTCCTGCTCCTGCTCCCTCTCCTCACAGGTGAGACCTGAGACCAGAGCGGTTTCACTACGGTGAC